TCTCTCCTCAGGAAAGAGATCATAACAGTGAAGATGAAGATGAAGATAAATATGCAGATGACATTGATATGCCTGGACAGAACTTTGATTCTAAAAGACGTATCACAGTTCGAAATTTACGTATTCGGGAAGATATTGCAAAAGTGAGCATTGAATTCTATTGTCTGTTTATCTTTTTTATTCGTATTTCAAACATTGCACTATTGTTAATGAATTTGGTGTTTAGGGATTAGGGTCTATTCTTGTTTCTACTACTCCTTATATTACAATTTCTTCAAGATCATCCCCTTGCAGAGATCTTAACCATTAAAATTATGGGGAGGGATTGGCAGTTGCAATACTAATTTCAGTTCTTTTAAATTTGTATTTTTAATCAAAAATCGTGTTTGTTGTCTTCTTCCCCTAGTACCTGAGGAATCTAGATCCAAACTCTGCTTATTATGATCCCAAAACAAGAGCAATGAGGGAGAATCCCTATGCAAATACTGGCAAGAATCCAGATGAGTAAGTAAAAACAGGAAAATGTTCACATGTCCAACAAAACTCTGTTACAAATGAGAGGACTCTTTAGTAATTTTGTTTTTTAATCTTTTAAATAAGTAATAATCTTTTAAATATTTATTTTAATCCAAATTATTAATAGAAGAGTCTTTTAGTGATGCTTTGTGGCAAACATAAAATATTGTTACTAGTTGTTTTTTATTTGTTTTAGTATTTAAAGTAGTATTTTAATGATCCTCGGGGACAAAAGAATGCCCACCTAGTGTACTGGTACCAATATGGAGCAAGGATAGGAACAGTCTGTATCTAGAGATTCTATCTGTAAAACGAATTATGTTTATGAAAATCCACATGTTTCTGTAGGAAAATCCATGTTTCTGCCAGAGGACAGCAGACTAAATTTGTCAGAGTTTTTTGCCTCTATGAAGAGGGGGAAAGTGGACTGTTGACATTATTTGATTTTATTTCAACCTGTGGTTGGTGTGCTCTTTGTGCGTCACTTCAGTATGGTGTGCAACTAAAGCAGAGCTATTATCAAGCTTTATCTATCTCAGTACAGTACCCAGGGGCAGAAGGGATTCACAAATCCCAAACCTGAAACCACTGTGCTAGAATATCACTGTATCAGTTGCCTTTCATATATATTGTACAATTAGATCCAAGCTTGGCTTCATGGTTCTTGCTATCCCATGCCCAGCCTGAGGTCCTCTTCTGCATCTTAAAATGTATCTGTATAAACATTGGCATGGAATGTTGTGAACTGCTGTGTAACGCTTTCAGGACTGGCGGAGCCGAGACTTTTCATTCATGTACTGAATTGAGTGCACCTTCTTCTCCCTCCATCTTGACTCTCAGGGCACAAAGAGTTTTTATACCTACAGAATATCAACAAGAGAGTTTTAAAGAGAAAATTGTGGAAATTGTTACTTGCATGCTAAAAATCCTTTTTCCCCCCGCAGAGTTGGTTATGCAGGTGACAACTTTGTCCGTTACACTGGAGATACCATTTCAATGGCACAGACTCAGTGTAAGTGTGTTTTTATTCTGTTGCCCTTTTTAAGGGAAGGGAAAATGTTTACGTTGGATTTATATTTTTTTGTTGTTGTTTGTTTTTTTTTTTTAAAAAAAAAAAAAAAGAAAAAGAACTAGAAGCAATAATTTGAATGCATTTGTTAGTTTTAGAGTAAGTATTGAGTAATACCTCTTGTATACACAGTGTTTGCTTGGGAGGCTTATGACAAAGGCTCTGAAGTTCATCTTCAAGCAGACCCTACAAAATTAGAGCTACTTTATAAGTCCTTCAAAGTGAAAAAAGAAGATTTCAAGGCACAGCAGAAAGAAAGCATCCTGGAGAAGGTAATAGACATTTGGTTTGATTTAACAAGGGTTTTGTTGAGTTTGGGTCTTGGAGAACAAATTTCGTTACTAATGTTGTGCTAAAACATGTCAGCTGTTCTGACCAGCTCTGTTATATTTATAAATGTGTGTTTACAGATACAAAAAAAATACTCAATTCAGTAAATAATTCAATATAGGAATAATGTAGTTGAAGGTCTGATAGACTGTCCTTATGTGTCAGTTAAAGCTTCTCAAATTGAAAAATCTGTGGACACACAGGAGATGTGCTTCGCTTAGCTATTAGTTGAAGATTAAATTTTCTCCACCTACCTCTCCTGTGTAGTATTTTTTGTTTTGGAAGTCATATATCCTAGATAGAGAAGATGCTAGAGGTGAAGTTTTTGAAACATGTAAACTACATATAAACTTTTTTTCCAAAACTGTCATTTCTGTTTACATAACAGTATGGAGGACAAGAACATCTAGATGCTCCACCTGCTGAATTGCTCTTGGCTCAAACAGAAGATTACGTGGAATATTCTAGGCATGGAACAGTCATCAAAGGACAAGAGAAAGCTATTGCTTGCTCTAAATATGAAGAGGATGTAAAGATCAACAACCACACAGTAAGCAACTAATTTAAACTTTAAAAACTAAATTTCTTTCCTATAGGGGAGGGAGTGAGGTGTAGGGACAGTGCAATATAATTAAAACAGCAAATAAATTATTTCTACTGGAATGTTAACTTCCCATAGGTGCAGTGGAATTTGAGGATGGAGATCTTTAAAGAAACTGAAGGGGGGTTATTGTTCTATTTCCCCTTGCCTTGAATATGAGTTGGCCTCATGCTGTTGCTCTTTTTGAAGCAGTAGCTGAAAGGCTAGTGTAAAATTGCAGGTGTACTTCTCTTAACCTCCACTTCTGAGTTCGTTGAATGGGTTACCCTTTATCAGGGAAAATAAAATAAAATAAAAATAAATAAAAAACACAGCAAAAAAAGTGCAGCATGTGTCTTATGGAAGTGTCTGAATGGGTGTAATTGCCATTGTGTTTCCTCTTGCAGTGCATTTGGGGCTCATACTGGAAAGAAGGCAAGTGGGGTTATAAATGCTGCCACTCGTTTGTCAAGTTCTCTTACTGTACAGGAGAAGCTGGGAAAGAAATTGCTGTAAGTATTGCCTTATTTGGTCATGTGGAAATAGCTATAAACCATCTATCTATATACTTTCTTAAAAATAACCAAACCAAAATTTAACTTGTCCATTCATTTTCAACTGTGCTTTGTAAATGGGTATCCTTCCTATTATCTGTTGTGTAGAACTCGGAAGCAAGCTTATCAGAAGACCAAACCAGGGATGAAGAACACGTGACAAAACCCAAAACCCTGATGGAGGTAAGGGAGAAGATGCTTTCCTTCAGTATTTTAAGAGGGAAACGTATGTGACTAAATGACGTTATGTCATTCTAATGAGCCTGAAAACTCATATTGCCTTATTTGATTGTTAACATTTTTTATTCAAAACTAGGATCTGAAGCATTAATAGACACTTAGGATTTAATGTCTCAAACATTTTTTGTTTGCTAGTTGAGTCTTAACTGCAGCTGTTTTTCCACTTAACAGATTCACCAAGAAAAACAGAAAGACAAGAAAAAGAAGAAACACAAGAAGAGCTCAAATTCAGATAGTGAGGGTGAAGAGAAAAAGAAGCAAGAAAAACTTAAAAAGGTGCAGTATACTCTTACTCAAAATATCATTCAAATGTTATTCAAAGCATGTTGGGAACATGACTTATTTTGAATAGCAAGGAATAGCAGTAATTGGAGAAACAGGAGAATTTGTTCAAAAAGTTTTCCCCCTGCGGCCCCCCCGCCCGCCACCCTGACTGAAAAACACTAAAATCACAAGCTTGCTTTTACCTGTTTTTGTACTTTGTGGATCACAATCATATTTTAGCTAAAACTTTACTAGGTGTTCTTACTTACTTGTTGGCAACTGGAAGGGGCTTAAATACTTTGTTTGCTAAATACTACCTTAGCTCACTTCAAGTTAAACCCTCAAAATAAGCGTTAGATGAAGTGGGGCTGTATGTGAGCCAGACAGGTGTTTGTTGCTGCATCCCACCATTCTGCTTCCTGCTTGTTCATTGTACTAAAATCTAATACAAACTTTTTTTTTTAAATTTGTTTCCACTTCAGGCATTAAATGCAGAAGAAGCTCGTCTTCTCCATGTTAAAGAAATCATGCAGATAGATGAGAGGAAGAGACCCTATAACAGCGTGTATGAAACCAGGGAGCCAACAGAGGAGGAAATGGAAGCCTATAGAATGAAACGTCAGAGACCTGATGATCCCATGGCCTCTTTTCTTGGACAGTAACCAGGGTGAAAATCATTCCAATGCTCAGGACAATTTCATACTTGCTCACAGATCTCTAGATGCTCACTTACCTTCCATGTGTGTAACAGATGCCAGAAATGGCAGAGTTTCTTTTCTTGTGTCACAGAAGATGATTGAAAGGTCTTGATGACAAACAAAAGCAGTACAGTATGTATAGCAATTCCAGAGTGTGTGTATATACATACACATGATGCTCATATATGTATATACACATATGTATATAATGCATTCACCCACTCAATAAATTCTCTACTGGAAGAAGGAGCTGGTAGTGTCTGGAATCCTGAATTCATTGAATCACCTGATCTATGCATGGAGATTATTGGGCCATTGGATCTATGCTAAGAATTTGCATGAGCAAATTCAGTGTAACTGACTAAGCAGAAGAAATGGGCAGCAGGTGTCACTGTTATACAGAGCAAAAATTGTTGCAAATAAACTTGACAGAGCCTTATTTCTAAAGGGAGTTGCCTGTCACATGGCTTTTGGAGGAAAAGTAGTTTTTTTTATTTCATAAGTATTCTGGAAATGTAAAAATTGATTGCTTTGTACAGTGTTGGTTAAATTAATATAGAGGTCTTAAATGCTAAAAAAGAGGATAAGAGAAGCTAGCTGTAGAGCTTTTAAATTTTATTTCTATTTAAATATAAAGCTGATTTTTTCATCCATATTTCCAATAATGCCAACATCACTGTAAGTGAAGGTTACCCAAAAGTGGGTGGCCCTGCTGTACTGTTTGAGTTGCAGACAGCTGAGTTCTTTGTTCTGTTTGATGTTTAACAGTATGCAACTTGCCTTTAATAACTTTCAGAACCCTGTTACATGGTGTAATACTGAATGTCAACCTCCAATACCTTAAGATAGTGTCATCATCTGCTATCTATCTGACAATATTGATCATTTAAAAACATGAATTTTAAACTGACTACTCGGGTTACAGAAATGGGTGAAAAACTTGACACCAATGACATGGCTTTAGAATTGGAAGAATGAAGAACTACTTCTGTTGTAGCTTAAACTGTTTTATTAAATATGGCTTAACCATGTTAAGTGTGATTATATTAATGGTAGTACAAAGAAAACGCTGTTCTGTAATCCTCCTTTTTATAAAGAAGAAACTGGTTATAATGCTCATTTTTAGACAGTGAAGAAAGTTAAACTTACCAGAAGAAATAGGTCTACCTGTAAAGCTGATTTCCTTTTATTACATTTATCTCCTAGTTTGCTTTTTCTGTGATTATTTTTGCTATAAAATTACTGATATTGAATGTAATACTTTGTTTAAAAACTTCATTTTAAAGTCCTCCTTACTCTTGCAAAAAATACATCTATCTAGTACCATTGAAGATGTGCAACTTGGTTACTAACAATACCACTCCAAACAGAAAATCAGACGGGGAAAAGAGGAAGGAAGCAGTTTCCCTTCCACTCACTTCAGTTTTCCATGTGATCTCATCCCTTGACCTTTCTTGGCTACAGCTGCTTTCAACGTGGACCCTGTACTGCTCCCACATGTAATTGCCTGCAGTAACCACCTAGACCAGCCTTGTGCGTTTGGGAGCTGCTTCCTTGTGCTTGTGTATATTTAGTGTTCTGATTCAAGTGCAAACTGTTCCCAAACAATTTTATGGATTAGCTGGTTTTACCTGTGAACACTTCTGAGGTCCATGACATTTAAGTGACAGCTGGCAGTACCTCTGCCCTCACAAACACTAGTTCTTGTTTTCTGAGTCAGGGCCATGTTCAGTTTGAGAAAGGAGATGCATAAAAAGAATCCCTCTTAGCAATTCTTTGAGGTATTTGGATACATTTCTAAAGGTGTAGCTAGAGATGGAATTCTTTTTAGAGTAAAAGAAGAGCAGTTTAGAATGAGGATCAAATTAACTCACCAATCTTGGCAGCTGTCACCTTCAGATTTAAATTCTGTCTGGTGATTATTTTTTGTGCTAGAGAAAAATGAGGAGAGAGTTGAAGATATGTATATTTTAAAAGCCTCTAGAGCATGTTCAGTGCTTTTAAACTGTCAGTTCAAACATCAGGTCAAAATTATTACAGGAAGATACTTTTTTTTTAACAAGTAAATATACTGAATTACAACTTATAGCACACTTCTGTGGATGGATTTTCTTTTCAAAAACTTGAGGATATGACTAATTTACTTTCAACATGCCCGGCCTTCT